AATCTTTACCCAGCGCTGAAAGACCAATACACATTTTAGACATTCCAAAAAAACTCTGCTCTATTTCAGATCATCATTAAACCATAATAAGCATCTATAATGCCTTACTAAGTATTTACATAGTAAACACTGCCAGTTTTACCAAATCCTCACTTAGGCAAAACTCCCAGTGGCCTCTACAGGAGATCTTTCCTAGAGGAGGAACTCAGGACTGCAGAATTTGACCCAATAAAAAGAGTAATGGATGGAACGTCAACATTAAGTGTCTCACTTTTCTTGATTTGATTTAGAAATGCCTGTGTTCATGGTACCTATTCATAACTTATGCTGTAACCAGTCTTTTAATAAAGGAGGCCACTTATTCTTTCATAGCTGTATTCTTCATTGCGTTTTGCAGTCTTTCACTTTAACAGAACACTATTATGGTTTGATCCACTATCTTGCAATACAATAATCTGTGTACACGTAACCCAGCAATCCCACAGATAAAGTCTTTTAGCAATTGACTTCACCGTCTGGCAGGTTTGGGCATTATATACACTTTGACTGGTTTGCTGAATGGGATAGTTCCTTCAATGCCACTTTCAGACTGTGGAAAAGCGTCCATGCTGTCGCTCCACGTGGATTTGGAGATTTTAGTGGAAGCTTTGCTCCTACTGGAATTGTATGCCAGTAGTAACCTCACTTCAATCTGACATGGCTCTGAAAAGAAAAGAAACAGATGCAATACCCAATCAGCAAGCGGAATAAACAATACTGAAGAGAAAGCAAATTGCTGATGTCTTGGATATAGATGATATTTGATCTCATTTAAAATTTGTGTACGACTATGGTCAACCCACAAATTTCAATATAGCTACTCCAGGTGTGCCACAAATTACCCCAGCACCCTCTACAACTGCAACTCCAATTCTCTTCCCCAGTCCAATCTGCTGCTTTGATTTCTGCTCCCTGCCCCATGTGTTGCTCTGCTTTCTACCTTATCTGCCATTGTACTGGTCTGCCACATGCCACACATACAGGAACTGCCCGTGCCACTTGTTGCATGTATGCTGCAGGCTGGCCACCCCTGGTTTACATGATCAGAACCTGATCCTGCGTGGCAAGTACCAGAGTATCTATTCTAGCAATTCTCAACAAGGGTGCCCTGAGAGCCTTTCAAGGGTGCTGCAGTGCCATGAAATGTTAGCACTGTTAGGTGTGCAAGCATGATTCACAAGATAAACCCAGAGATTTCAAATAGAAATTAATTCTGTCCTGCTGTGGGCCAAGTTCTCTGCAACAGAAGAATCACTCTGTTATTTTTCTGTAGCCAAAAGACAAGTGAAAATTAAGTGTGGCACTTCCTCCAAGTGGTGCCTTGAATCTAAAGTGGTAGATAACCACTGATCTGTCTTCCCAAGTCAGGCTATTGGCATTTACACTGGTGTGACCGAGATGGCAATCCAGCATGCTTAGAGCAAATACAGTTTTGCCAGCTGTTTATCTTGATAGCAGTCTAAGAGAGACTCCTAGGACAGGCTTCAATGAAGTAGACAAGAATTCTAATAGCTAGGACTGGAAAGAACCTCAAGAAATCATCTAGTCCAGCCTCCTGCACCGATTCATAGATTTTAGGGTCGGAAAGAACCTATTAGATCATCAAGTCCGACCCCCTGCCC